TATAAAAAGAATTTTATTATGTATGGCAACATGTCTCAAAACAAATTTTAAAAAATATATTCTTACCGATTTCAGAGAGGAAGGGAGGAGAAACATCAGTGATGAGAGATTCATTGATTGGCTGCCTCCTGCACTCCCTACTACAAGAGAGTATCTCTAACTCACCTCTCTGGTCTCCACACTAAGGGATCAGCTAAGACACTCTCTTTTGGAGGAGGTCTGCACTTTGACTTTAGGCCCCTGACAGCACCCTGCAGCCTCCGAGTTAGGCAGGGTAAAGTAAAACCATTTAATGTTTTACTTTCCTGTCCTTTGAATTTTTGTAATCAGAAAAAGAAAAACTAAAGAGTATCTCTAACTCACCTCTCTGGTCTCCACACTAAGGGATCAGCTAAGACACTCTCTTTTGGAGGAGGTCTGCACTTTGACTTTAGGCCCCTGACAGCACCCTGCAGCCTCCGAGTTAGGCAGGGTAAGGAGTAAAACCAGGCGGGTCCCGCACTCAGGTATTTTAAGAGTCCTAGCTAGCCTCTTCACAAGTATTGAGCAAACAGCATTTCATTTCATGATCATACAACACAGACGAGTTGTTAGCTGGGTCTTTAAGGAAATAAATCAATGGCCCTAGAAGCAATTTGATAAACTTTTATATTCACAATGAGATTTTGTTTGAAAGTAATTTTCTCTGCTGGAGAAAAGGATGAATGCTGACATGAAGAATGCAAAGTGGAAATGATTACAGCCTGAGGAAAATGAATGCCACTCAAAAGGCAAGCTGAGATTTCTCACGACCGTATTTCCTCATAGCTATGACGCCTCTGCATGGTACACAGCAGTCTTGTATGGGCTGCTAAGGAAAACAGGCTGCCACATAAACTGTCCCAGGCCACTACCTGCCAGGATGGCAAAACTATACATCTTAGCATCAGTCAAATGTGGAATTTGGAGCAATAGTTACCATAGGAAGCTTTTCTTAATGATTTCTGATTAAATACAGTATAATTAAACTTCTTTATTCTATCTGAAAGGGACCCAAATAAATTACTTCTCTATATTTTATACAAATTTGGATCTTTGAATTATATAGGTACTTAAAGAATCTTATTCCAAGTTCCTAATGGAGCAGGATGGTAAAATTTTACAATTTTGGTCCTATAGTCCTGTCACTTTGTAAAACATTTTCCTTTCCCTTTTCCCAATCTAGGGCTGGTGTGGATGGAAGGGTCCAGACTTCTGGAATAAGGATGCATACTATAACTTATGTCTTCCTCAGCGACCAAGCATTATTTAAAACGACGCTCAACCACTGAGCCACACAGGCTGGGCTCTATGGTTTTGTGTGTTTTTTTAATCAAGAAAGAATGCAAAAATGGTCTCATTGATATGACCTTAGCGCCAGAAATGATTCATCTAATAGAAAACGGTTTCTTTCCAGCCAGGGTTCGGAAATGGCCGCTCAGGGACGGGCACTGGCCAATCACTTCCAGAGTGAAGGAACTCCGGTGATGATCGGTACGAGCTTGGGACACCCTGGGCTCTTAGGTGGCGTGGCGAGAAAGTAAAACTTACATTAGTATAAATGTTTAATGTCACCTGAAATCAGTCATTTTAAACCAATTTAAAATTAGCTTTTACACCATACACTCTGACCTCCAAATTCCTTTGGCGATTTTTAAATGTGCAAGGCAGAAGGAACGTTATAGAAAAGGTTATAATAACCAGACGAAAATGCTAAGAAGGTAAATGATAAAGGTGTGCCCATAGTTAAAGAGTTCAAAGCAGCATGAAAGAGAGGCATGAGCGTCGTAAGTCACATGTCTGTCACTAACGTGGCTGGCGGTATTCCATGACTGCGAATTGCTTAATCTCTCTGGGCTTTATGCGCAGAATAAGAGGATTGGATTCGTTGATCTAAAGATTCATATTCTATGAGGAACAAGACAGCTCCTGTGATGGCAGAGGAAAGCTCAAACGGGTGTGTGTAGGAAATGGAGGCAGGCAGATTTCAGCAGAATATCAGAAAGAACTGAATGAGTGATGGCTGTCTCCTTGGAGACAGCACGCTCCCTGCTGAGTGGACCACAGCAGTGACTGTGTCTGGTGGGAGGAGTTTAGACCCTCTGTGGACCTTTCTAAATCCAGTTCAGGTAATTCCATGGATATGGCAGTGTGAATATAAACCTGATTGTAGATATGATTGAATCTCTATCTTAAAGATGTAATTTTATCTTTTCAGAGTATATTTGACATTGTGGTCTTTTACAATGTAGACTAGAAAATTTTAATGCTGTTAGGTAAATTCATAGGCAAAGCAATCTTTTAAAATTGAAAAGGAAGTTGAGGTTAATGTATGCTTCTCATATTTCATATTTCCTCTTCTCTAGGGGGAGGAGTTTTGGCCCACACGATACTGGGAGTTGCATGGAATGAGATTACAGGGCAGATAAAATTTCTGATTTTAGATCCACATTATACAGGCGCCGAAGATCTGCAGGTTATTTTGGAAAAGGTAAGTATCTATTTAACACAAATTTAGATACAAGACAAAGAAACCAGAGCGAAAGGATAGTGAAGTGGCTGTTAACAGAGGGACGGATAATAAACCAAGGGCAGCGACCCTCATTATAAGGAGGCATCTAGGGCTATAGTGAGTGACTGTCTCTCACCATAGCCCTATATAGGGAGGATAAGAGGGAAATGAAGTAAATTGCAGAAGAAACATTTTGGGTTAGGGTTATAAAAAATGTTCTGTTATTGAACTTAATAATGGAGCACAAAGCTCATAAATGTATTCCTTTGGAGATTTTTCAGCTTTGCACAACAAATGTATTGAGGTCTATCAATTACTTGAAGTAGGAGAATCAAGTTTAAAACCTTTAAAAATTTTGAATTAACCAACAATAGCTAAGCAGTATGCTGGACATTGTGGAGGCTTGACTACTTTTAAGCTATTTACTATAACTTAAATCTCAGGCTATAGAGGATTTGAACAGAAAAATAGGTTTGCTCTATTAGTGCATGTCAGCAACCATGAAGCCAAGGCCTGGCCATCAGTACAGAACTATGAACTCTTACTTGACTCAAGATCCTAAGGCACCGAGTCCGCTTGGCTGCTACACAGAATTCCACAGAGTGGGGACTTATAAACATCTGGCATTTATTTCTCAGTGCTGGGGGCTGGGGCGTCCAAGATCAA